CTCGCGCGGTGGCGGGCCTTCCTGCTCGTCAGGGAGCTGCGGCCGGTGTGCTGGCAGCGGAGGGGCCGGGCACACTGCAGCGGTGGGCCTCTGCTGGCTGCACTCGGGACTAGAGCAGACGAGTCACGCAGAGAGCCTCTCGTGCTTCCCATCCACCCGTGGGCAGCCAAAGCACCTACTGTGGGAGCGCCAGTACTCCTGACGGGATGGGGTAACGCTTCGAGATCAGTTCTGTGTAAGGAGCTCTGACTGTGTCACCTCTTAGATTATGTGAGTAAGGGCTGGTCACGGTCACCCAAAGGGGCGGAGGAGTGACAATAGATGGGACGCTCCGATGACCGAACCAGCGTGATGCTGCCCTGGCAGGGCTGCTCCCAGAGCTTTCTGAAGAGTGGGGTCGGCCCCTGGGCCCAGGCCCCAGTCTTGGCTTGGCTCCCCTCCCGAGTGAGGCAGAGGGGCTCCTGGGATGCCTGCAGACTGAGGAGGATCCCACCTGGAGGGGTAATGGGCTTACGGTGGCATACGGGGGATGAGCATTCGGGGCTGCGTAAAACCTACTGGGAGAGCCTTTTCAGGGGACTGTGGGAATGCATGAGATGTATTATGGGTTGTTTAAGGGAAGCACCAAAGGTGGGGAAGGAGTCAAGGTGGACTGGGAGGAAAAAGCATGGGAACGTGGAAGGAGAAGCAGGGTGAAGAAGGTGGTCGTGTGTGAACATGTTGCCGGTTGGTAGCCTTTATCTCTGCAGTCTGTCCTGTCTCACTAAACTCCATTTCTAGTTTTCTTCTGGGGTGAGGGGACTGACTGCCCTGCAGGCCTATGTACGTCTGGCGGTCTAAGCGCCAGCAACTGGCATCAGGCCACAGGTCAAAGGGGCCAGTGTATACGTGGTACCAGCAAATGGGAAGACTGGAGCATGCGTAGAGGGGGGCTACGGCTAGGGTGGAGTGCCAGTGTGTGTGATTGCTGGCGAGCGAGCCAGACTAGCGAGCGAGTAGGATAATGGGCTTTGGAGCCAGGTATCCAGGACCAGATAGGGGATAGATTGGGGTCGGCAGGTTGCTTACTGGAGCTAGGTTTAAGCCAGCTTACTGGAGAAAATGGGGCGGGCATCCGAGTTGGCTACGGGAAGGCCATATGCCTGGAACAGCTAGTAGAGAGATTAATTTCTCCCTCTCTCCCTTTCCAAGTGAGAAGATCTGAGTAAGAGCAAGTAGAGTAGTACTGTGAACCTCAGGTGTTCATATGCCCCGGTGCCAGGAAATCCAGTGGCTAGTTAGCGGACAGACTGAGTGTTGAAGGCCAGCTACCGAAGGGATTCATGTTTGTGTGCGTTGTATACGCATCTATGTTTATATGGATGCACTCTACTAGCAGACTTCCAAACTGATCAGCTGGAGAGGAGGAAGAGGATTCGGCCACTTGTACCATTCACATTTGAGTGCTGTGTGTTTTCTGTGTTGATCAGTGTTGCTGGACATGTGCATTTTTGCCTACTGGGAATACGTTCCCAGCCTCACTACTGGCTGGACTTGGGTGTGTGGAAGTGCAGCAGCCTCACATCTACTAAGGTACCGGACTCGGCAACTTCTGCTGTCGCCCATCTCAGCGTCCCTGTCTTTGCTGTTGCGTTATTCCGCTTTTCACTCCTGTTAATCTCACGCAGACTCTTTAACCTGGTACTCCAATGGCTGTTACATGTTTTTCTGTCAGGTAGGTAGCAATTCTGTGGTGAACTATGGTGCCAGATACTGCTACATAAACAATGATCTGTATTTGAGGAAAAGGTAATTGCAGCCTGCAGGCTCTTAGTTCCACGTTAATCTAAGGCTTTTTACTGATGTCCTCTATCGTGCAAGGACACAGCAATCCTTACTCTGCTAGCCTGTTCCAGATGTGTCCTATTCCACAAAGGAAGGCAGATGATAAAGATGTTCAGAAATAAAAGCCCTTCGGTGGGAACGTTCCCGGTAGCTGTGAAAGAGGAGGGAGCCTACTGCAGAAATGATCAGCCCCCTAGCAGGGTAGAAGGCCACAGAGATGGATCGTGTAACCTAGTTTCACTGCGCGTCAATATTCTTGAGGCAAAGCACTGAAGGGGAAAGGGTACCATGAGTTATTTTATTCTCGGAGCGCTCTGAGTTTTGGATATGCTTTATAACATGTTACTCTACGTCCATGGACCAAAGACAGGATTGGAGAAGCCAGGAGAGGATTCTGGTTTACTTGTTCTGCTGTACAGAGTCTCACAGAAATTGAAGTTCCTGTTTTTTTTCTCTCTCTCTCTCTCTCTGGGAACAGTAACATGCTTGTTAGATGTATAGAGATTTCATCTTTCCCACTTTCTCCAAGTACTGTGAGTAAACATTTGGGTCATTTACTTCCCCTCTGAAAGGTATTCCCAGTAACAATGATGTCCCAGTAGCAGTGAATCTTTTCTATTAGCAGAATTGGACAAAAGCCTTCTCTGCAAGGCGGGGGGGGGGGGGGAAGATGATTACGGTTCAAGATTGGCCCACGCAGAGCTGTGTTTTGACAGGTGTCCTGAGGTTCTCAGAGGGCCGAAGCAAGGTCAGTTGAATCATTTGGTCAGCAACTGGAGAAAATTGACTGGCAGTTAAAACTCTTTCCCCTGCTCCCTGACAGCCGAGTCAGACATCGTAAAACAAGCGCACTAGTTGGTACCGGATTGAAAAGGCAATCATGCTGCCCAGGACCTAGGTAAAAATCAGACGGAGAACAGAAACGTTAAATAGTTTAAGGCTGGCAGATTCCTCCTTTCCCGATGGACTTGCTACGCTTTCCAGCATGCCTCGTTTCACTAAATAACAACATTTAGGCTAAAGTGTTTTAGGTATAGAAAGATGAAAGGCAGAAGTCTAGCCAAAGGCCTTGTTTCTTTCTCTGAGCATCGTAGCTATCTGTGGGGGATTTCTTGCATGTGCCTGCGCACAGTTACACTGTGAGAACGAGTGGACAAGATGAATGGTTGGGAACCATTCTTTCCTTATTAAGGAGCCTGTATTATAACATAAACCCTATGGAAAATACCTCGTGTCAAAGCTGCAATTTGGCATCCTTACAAGAAGGCGCCAAGACTTCTCTGCTGTGACTGGGCTCAAGATCAAGTGGTATGTACTTCCCATCCTCTCCCATCCCCGATGTAGTCTGCCTAAGCCCTGTTCGGTCTCTAGGTTTGTTTTGTTCGTTGGTAGTCCTTCCTCCCGAATGGGAATTTGGCTAAATGTCTCTTCTCTTTCCTAGTAAGAATCTCTTATCTTTGATCTGAGGATGAAAAAAGAATGTTATTGTGGGCAACTAAGCAAGGCCGGCCTTTCCAAAAGTGGCATCTCTACTACATTATGCATGAGAGTTCATGTGCTGAATAGAAGTAGCGGTGGTATCTGTGAGGCATGTTATCCTTGCGCTCCTATCCTTGCGCTCCAAGTTGCTTCAAAGCGCTCCCGCATCCCGCTCAGATTCCAGATACCACTGAGCTGCGTGCCACGCTTATGCAAGTCCACCAGCTGGAGATAACTCCAGGACTGTTATTTGGTATGACTTAAAACCAGGAACATGGAAAAAGGCTGAATGGGGACAGAGCGACAAGGCAATCTGCTTTCCTCATGTCTTTTTTTCTAGCATCCAACGACTCGTGCCTTGGGAATCTTCTCAAGCTAACCTAGGGACTTGGTATTTATTAGCTCTCAAGGAACCGGGGCAGGGGGGGAGGGGGGAAGAGAGAGGGGAGGGATGTGTTTACTCCTTGAGCTGTGTAAATCTGCGATTCTCCTCAGGTTCCACAGCTCAACTGCATCTTGTGTGAAGAGCACAATACTATACTTGCCTCTTGAAACTCTTGAGACCGACTTGGATCTGTTTCTACTGCAGAGTACATCTTTCTACTGAAGGAACCGTTTGTCTGACCTGAATGAGTAGCAACAGGAGAGTGAGATTTCGCTCGTGGGTGGGTCCAATCAGCTTTATGACAAAGTTAATAAGTGTCATATTATTGCACTCGGTGTATTCGCCATCTTCATCCGTTCCACTCCTCACATCTACTATGTGCAAGATCTTGACTGCCTGGGGAAAGAAATACTGCATGCTATTTCACCAGGATCGTTTGGCGCTCACTGGCTGGTTTTGCTCAAGAGCCCTTTTGCTGTACCATCCCTAAAGTCTGGCTCCTGCTCTTACTAAAAAGACAGGACAGGCTTATAATGGTCCCGGAACGCTGCTACGTGTGGTTGTTCTGAAAGATTGATTATTAACGCAATGGAGTGACTGCGAGGGATGGTGACGGACTAAGAAGAGTATTTTCTTCTGGATTTGAGCCAGGAAATAACAAGTGAACCCAGAAGTTCTGGATTCCCTCCCATCCTGTTCGTCTCGCGTTTGATCACCGCCTCAAAATGCGTCTGGATTTTGAATGTTTTTTGGCTATTACCTTCAGAATGTTTGTTCCCAGGGCAGACAGGCTCTTAGTTTTGAATTTGGAGTAGCTCATCTCCAACTTCCCTGTACTAGGATTGAGCCTAAAAGAAACATTAAAATTTTAGTTGGGATAGAGCAAGGAGACAGAGATATCCCTACGCAAGCAGACTTAGGTCCCTAGCTGAGTAGTTGAGAAAGAAATCCAGTGGCGGAAAAAGCGAGAAGAATCCGAGACGCTTAACAACAGCTGCCGACACCTGTTGTCAGAGGTGTCGGCACCAGACACCTGACACCAGAGTCAGGAAGAGATTCCTCCCCACCGCACCCCCAATACGTGCATAAAGCTGTACAGTTTTCAAAATAAAATAGAATCTAACATCTGCAGAGACAGTCGCTGACATGGCATAGTGCCACAGAATGTTTGCTACTATGAAATCTTAGCAGATCCTGCTGCAACAGCCTTAAAAGCGGCCTGTATCAATTTCGCTCGCCCTTGTAGCTGAGAGTAATAATATTCTTACATGGTTAAAAATCACTCTTCTGTATCTGTGGGGGTGGGGTGCTCGGAAAAGTTAACTTCTTTGAGAAGCCTCTACTCTGTGAAGCTCGACCGTAGCTGGCAGAGTGAGCCAGCTAACTTTTAACTGGAAAACTTACTTTGATGGCTTTTAGAAAGAGCACCTATCACCACCTGGCTCACTTGGTGTTGGAGACAAAAGGCACAATCTGTGGTACCGTTATAGGCCGCTCGGGTACATTACCTCGGCAGCCGGTGACGGGGACAAGGAATGACGTGGAAGAGTTGAGGCAATGAGTAGAGGAAGTTGAGCAATTGCGGGATGAAAAAAAGCAGCATTGTTTTGCTGAAGTGCCCCAAGATCCCCACCACGGCGAAGGTCATGCCAGCAAAGTAGCAGAAGGTGTCCCCAACAAACACTCGAGACGGGTACCTGCAGTCCCCAGGGCAGAAAAGCAAAGGTCTGTCATGTCGCTGTTGCTGTGAAAGTGACTTTATAACCATTGAATGTATTCACGCGTGGCAGGTTAGGGGCCAAGAGGGAACCGCAGCAAATCTACATAGTAAAAACAAACAATTGCAGGTACTGATGCCAAGAACTGCGGGACTGTGACACACAACTCGACTCGCAGAGAATACGGTATGAAAAAACGGCTAGAGAGACATGTGAGGGAGCGTATTCTATGCATTTTGGTGAGCCGGTGTGACTGGAATTGTTCTAATAAAAAGAAAAGCTACCCGTGCATCGATGCTTCGCACTCTTGTTTCTGGCAAGAAGCCTGTCTATGCTCCAGCATCCCACCTGCACGTCAGTAAGTGGTTTTGTTTGTTTGAAAGGGGAGAAAGTAAAGGCAAAGGTTTCTGAAGAAACTCTGAACGTCCATCCTCTTACCAGTTGTGGTAAAACAGCCCCAGCGTGGTAAAAAAAAAGGGAATCATGAAGTAGAGAGAAAAAATGTGATCATCTCGATAATCCCCTATAGAGAAAAGAAAAAAGAATGCGTTTGTGGTAAGACAGGACTGGCTGATTTTTAGTAATACCAGATATTGAAACCTAGGACTCTATCTTTGCTTTTTGCACCGGTAAACATATAGGTTATCTTCCTTACCGTTTAACTCTACCATGTTGAATACGATAATGGAAGCAGCTATCACCAGAGACTGCCCTGCTTCAATGCCATTAATTCCAGCGAGAATGTTGATGGCGTTAGTGCAGAACACTGCTAGCATGCCCATGTACACGTAGTAGAGGATACCTGCAGATCAGAGCGAGCCAAGTGCTTTAGCATTCATAGGCGAAGCAGGCCCCGGCCCAGTTCACCGAAGCTCTGGCTTCCTGCTTTGTACAGCAATCCATTACCTAGCGATCGTGGTGAGTTTTGATAGCAGTAGCTTACTAATAAATCTCCCGTGACTCGGCCATCACGTGTACGCCTATGTACAACGCGGCAACTGCAGCAAACTGTTGCGACACAGGCTGTAGCGCTCTGTTTCTGTCCTTCGGTCATGCCAGTGGCAGCAGCCGAGTGCCGTGTGCACCTGGCGCTCAACTGTATTGCCAGAATGCTGAAAAAATGATTGATGCCTATCTGCGCATGGCTGGATGCTGGGTTTCTGGGTGTTCTTTCCAACCTAATATTTAGCTGTGCCCTCTCGCTGGTTACGTGAGCAAATCCTTCATACGCTCCCTCTGCAGCACAGAGTGCTGTCAGGTGACCCCCTTCCGCCGATCGCTCCCCGCTGGGATGATGGCTCCTGGCAATTCGTAACTTACCCAGGTCCAAGTGCATGCCCAGCAGCAGCCGGAAGGGCTTAGGCACTACAATGGTCGTGTTCCCAAAGTTGGTGAAGTAAACCATGAGCAGTGGGAGGGAAGCCATGGTAGGAAGAAGGAGCTTGTGGCGCCAGCGCAGGTTCAGAACGTCATCTGCAAAGCCCAGGAAAATCATGCAGCAGATGGCAAGGAGGGAACCGATGAGCTCTACGAACTGCGGGACAGAGAACAGGACCCCGGTTACCGGTGGCCGGTTACCGGTGGCCGCTCCCCGCCCGTGCCCGCCCCGCTCCCAGCACCAGCTGAGCCTCACCTCGTCGTGAGGAAAGGCCGCGCACTGCTCCTCCACGAAGCATCTCAGGAAGGGCACGGGAATGAAGCAGAAGAGGATGATAAGGAACACGGCGCCGCTGATCACGCCCTGTGCTTCGGGGCTGAAAGGAAGGTAAGGTGGGGAGTCAGCCCGGCCGATCCCACTCCCGGGGCCAGGGCCGGGGCCGGTTTGGCCCCACGGGGCAGCGCTACTC